AAGGCAACCACACGACCAAAATCACAATCAAAAAAAAAATTTCTTTGTTCGGGTACTTCTGATACACCCAATGTAGAATCCAAAGTTGATCACGAATTTCCGGGTCAAAATGGGTCCCTATGATCCTGATAAGCACGCCTAATATCCTAATATGATCCTAATTAAATGGATATTTTCCGTTTCCCAAATTGCCACAGAAAGTTTACTCAAGTCTCTAACAAGGAAGATCTTTAGAAGGTTTAAGACAATCCGGAGGGTTACCTCGGAGGGTACCTTGATCACCCAAGTTACTTCGGAGGGTCCCCCTAAATTTACTAAGGAGGGTCAATAAGATGCTTAATATGCTCCGGAGGGTTACTTCGGAGGGTACCTCCAAAATTTTCAAATTTTTTGATCTCGCTTAGAAGGTTCTCCCACTAGCTTCAAAAAGCGTCAAAACAAGCTAGGAGCTCTAAGGGGAGCTGTTTTAACTTCTTAGGGTGATCTCGTGGAAATTTTCCACTAAGGAGGGTTGCTAAAGGGTTTAGCTGACTCCGGAGGGTCACTTCGGAGGGTTCCCCCAAAATCAAGAAAAAGGGTTATATCACCGCAGTAAAGCCTCTGAAAGCGGTCTACCTGACTTAAAACTAGGTTGGCTGACACGGTCAACCTTCCCAGTTGAATAAAAAGATGTTTTGATAAAATTTTCTGCCGCTCGGAGGGTTACCTGTAATTTGGACCCTCCGAACCAACAAATTCTAAAAAAATTTTCTTTTCCGAGATTGTCAATCCCAAAAATGGAAAAGTGGTCAAAAAGTGGTTGAGATTCGGAAAATTGGTCAAAAACGTCGACTTATGGTACCAAAATTATCCCGATCGGATAACTAGTCTTTGAGAAATCGCCAAAAACGCGTTCGTCAAAATGGCCTTTTTGACCACCTGTATAGGATCTGAAAGACTTTTTTCGCAATTCCGGTCGAAAGTGCCTAAAAATACTTGAAATGAGCGTAGTAGCCCTGTACGGCACTGGAATAATGCAAAAACCGGACCAAAATTGGTTTAGAAACAAAAATTTGGCCAAAAACTATCAAATTTGGACCCTCCGGTTCCTTCCTTTTCCAAACCTTAAGTCGTTAGCTCTATCCACGGAGCTACTCGGAGGGTTACCCAAAATTTTCTCTAGTAACCGAGCACGTTATGCTAGCACGCTCCTAACGCAAAAAATTTTATTGCTCTAACTCTAAAAACTCAAAAACTCGATCCCCAAAACAGATTGACAAAATACAGAAAATTATCAAAATTTTGATCAAAAAATTTCCGTTTTTCTAACTTCTACTGAGTCTTTGCTCACGCGGTTTCTTTAGTGAAGGGGATCGAACTACGTAGCTACTCTCTGTATAAAAGCTTTTTGCCTATCGGAAAAGCTCGGATATCCGGAAATTTGGGGGTCTGCAGTTTTGGTCGAAAATTGGTAATTTTCGACAAAAATGGCTGTTTCTTGGGTCTAAATAGGAGATAAGTAATATATAATAAGGATAATGATCTATTAATAGTCGTTAATGAATAGTGCTATACCCTCCTTTGCACCAAAATACCCGAATTAAGACCCTTAACTCGGAAATTTGTAATCGATGGAGGGTACAATCGGACCGCGCCAATCGTGCCCCCCACCACTTAAGTTTTAATGAAATAGTACCCGAACGATAATAAAATTGCTTCAACGATACCCAACAGTCGTTGCAGATGTTGCCCTTGATGTCCCTGTTGAGCGTGGAACACGTCGGTCAGCTTGCCACTCTACCCTCCGGTCACCGGCAAAATCACCATTAACGTGCTTAAACACTCAAATTACACTCGAGGGAGGGTATCCAACCCTTCACCAAAACACACAACCATTCTATCAGAAACGATATAAATCAATCTGAAACAACAACAAATAGGAAGGTCAGATCACATCTCGTCCGGAAATAACATATAAACTGTCACTTTATGTTTTTTACTGTTTTTGGTCTTTTTTGGATTTTTTACTGTTTTTTGTACTTTTTTGTTTTTAAATAAATTTGTTTTTGGCTTTTTCTTGGTTATACGCTATTTTTGTTTGGTTTTACGCTTTCTCTTTAGTTGTTTTTGGTCCCGGGACCTCGGGACAAGCGGGTTCATGACTTCCCACCTAACCCTCCGGCCCCCGGAATTTTCGGTGTTAACTGAGTTAAAAAGCTAAATTGTACTAGACGGAGGGTACGCACCTTCCCCCTAGTACAACAACGGTCATTAGGACCTCTAACTCGGGCATACGCCCGGAGCGGAGGGTTCGTCGCTGAAACGCTTGCTGATCATGATGGTTGCATGCCTTTAACAGGCCCACCCAGGAGCGCCATAAAAACGTCTATGTAACATTCGCCCAAATACTACACAGCGACGGAGCGTAGAAAAAGTACCTATTAACGACTGGCAGGCGTCTGTTACCTTAATCCTACTCGTTTTTCACCGTCTCGACCTTGCCAGTTGATTTTCTGGTCTGTTTAGGGCAAAGTAAAAAGTTACCATTTTTAGGCCATCAGTCAAACGACTTTTGATCAGCTTTCGTTTACATGCGAACACAACCACATAGCTGTCTCGGATCCTCAGACTACATGATTGTCATTAAAAACACGGCTCAAACAACCTATTTTAATATGTTTTTGTGTGACAGTTCTATATTAAATCCATTGGAGATGGATTGACCCTTTCCTTTTTCTAGCTACTCATACTCTGAAATATTAAACAATAACGGTGTTAATTAAGATCTATGACATTATAGCAGCTATACAGTCAGTCTATACAGTCCCTTCACATAGACAGTCTCTGGGGGACCAAGCCTCCGCTCCCGTAATATTCTTGAGATAACACTCTTATCTCTTATATTTCGTGTCCCGGGAGGGTCCCGTGGTATATTTCTTCCCCCACTGAAGCCTCCTTCTCCACAAATTTCCGTCGCTAAGGTTCTTATCGTGTGTTATCGCCACGATAAGAGGCTTCGTATTTTTTCGTCTCTGATACGACTGTTCTTCACAACATCTGTCGTTGTTTTCCTCTCGTCTTTTTTATTCAAAATGGCCGTCTTTTTTCTATTTCTCAGAAATGTTCACTCTTCAATCGAAATTTTAAAATTAAAAATTCCAGAACATTCTGACCCTCCTTCGCAACACTTTTTTGTTCATAAGGCCTTTAGCCGTCCTTTTTTACGTCGCCGGAAGGTTGTGCTGTGTCATCTGGCAGAATGGCACAGTTAATGACCTTGCATAACGAATTTCTTAGTAATTTGTCGTAGCGTTCCTAAAAATCATTTTGCAAAAAACAAAGGCTCATACGCAAAAAAATATAGGAGTTTTGGCATGCTAAAGCAATTTTTCAGGAGGTAAAAACCATAATGGGTATGACATTCGACCAGAATGG